GCGATTCCTATTTTTAGGTTTGGGGAAGATGAGGCAGAAGCAGAAACAGATGCAGACATTGTGTGGAAAGCAAAACCAATGAAGATAGCAAAGGACGAATTTGTTTTGCGGGTGTTTTCTTATGGAACGGTTCTTGACCAGGGCAAATAAAAATCACGCCTTGTGTTGGTTTAGGAAAATTTTGGTGGAAGTCCATCCCACCAATAGAATATTCATAGTTAGATTTAATCAAATATCAATTTTTATAATCCCTAAAATCTAATTTCTTATTTTAGTCCATCATCTTATTATAGCAAAATAATTTGACAATACGTGATATTCAATCACAATAAGTAAAAAATGACCAACTTATATATATATATTTTGGTCGCAAAAGAAATATTTCATTATTGGCAAGCTCTTGAGAAACCCATACAAGGAGTGTCTAAACAAAGAAGAGCCCATAGGGCTTGAAGAGGGGCAACAAGCCAATTTTGTGGAAGACGACCTAATATCTGCGATTTCATAGTTCAATTGACAACTAAACTATATGGGTGTGCAAAATGGACCGCCCAAATCGAAAACCACCCAGACGGGCCGGTTTGGTCCGGTTCCTGAGAGTGTCGGTCCGGTTCCCGATTCCTTAAACTAGAATCGGACCAACTACACGCACATATATATATTTTTTATTTTTTTCAAAAAAATTAATAAAATGTGAATTAAACCTTAAGTGAAGTACGTTTTTTGGTTCGTCTTTTCAATTTGAGGATCATTACTAATATTTGATCATTCATGGTTGCAAAATAATCCATATCTCTCGATAATTGGTGGGTTTATTTATTGTTTTCTATCTGCAATTTATAATAAATCTGTTTTTTTTTAAAAAAATTTTTTGTCTATTGTAGAAGATATATGAGCACATAGTAGGATCCTTTTACTCATATCTATTTTCTAAAAAAGGTAGTGGAGAATACGAAGAGATGACATCAAGTAGTGGGAAAGAAAAAGTGATCGGTTCCATCGAACCATCCCTTGCTAAATTGGACTCCTTCGGACAATGGGTTGGACGAATGCGCGGGTGGGGCCGAAATAAGCTCCAAACAATCCGCGAAAAGGACCCTACTATGTGCTCATATAGTAGGAAGTCCACCCATCGACTACGCCAAGCGCAAGGTCGTCGTCTAGTCTTCGACGCCGCCATGTCCACCTGCTCCATCCTCCAGCCCCACACGACTTTGCCCTGACGGACGTGCAGTGCAGGCCGCCCTCATCCCCCCTCCGACGACACCATTTCTAGGCTCAGGCTCAGGCTCAGGCTCAGTATGTTTTTAAACATAGACTTTAAATTGTTTAAACTTGTCAAAAGCTTCAAATTTTTCTTTCAAGAAATATGCCCAAATTTTTATGGTAAAATCATCCATAAAAATTAACATGTACCTTTTTTGTCCGAATGATTCAACCTCAACTAGGCCACATATGTCAGTATGCACCAACTTTAATGGTTGTTTTGCTCTTCCGGCTTTTCCAACTGGAAAAGATTCTTGATGTTGTTTTCCAACAAGACATCATTTGCATGGGCGATCTGGACAGTCGATCAAGGCATGCCGGTCTCCATCTTTTTTTGGACCAGTAATTTTAGTCCATGAAAATTTAGATGCTGGACCAGTAATTTTAGCACCGGATAAAAAAAAAGGTGTGTACCATTATCTTAAACCTTGCAATGTCACTGACATAAAATGCTCACGTTACAGAATCAACATATTCAATTGTCTACACACTAACAAGCGCCATAGTAGCTCCCAGCATTCCAGGAGACTGAAGAAAAAAGCCAGACAGAAAGGACTCCAGCAGAGCACAAAAAGGAAGGTCCTGCATCGGAGCAGAAACAGAACACCTACGCCAATATAAGCACCGGAAGAGAAGCCGTTTACAAATCAAGAGATGGAGAACCTTCTCCTTCTCGGCTTCGTAATATCCGCAATGTCGTCGATGTTGGAAGTGTCTTTCGACCCATGGCGGAATGGGTTCAACTTTCCGAGCGTCTTGGTCATTGAAGAGAAGAAGGTAGTCTTTTTGGCGCCTCCCTTGGAGGACGTCTCTCCTCGGCTCTTCGGGTTCTGCATATCGGAGATGTACATCTTCATCGTCATTAGCTCGGACCTTAAGTTTTCGTTTTCCCTGACCAACGACACATCAGCCAGCACTTGGCTCCTCGTTGCCGCGGGATCAGGTACGTCGCCGTTCTCCATTCGGCTCCTGAGCTTCAGCTGGTCATAGTAGAGTGCGTGCAGAACGATCTGCACGGGTAACCGCTTGTTCTGCGAGGCATGAAGCCGAGCTTCGTGCGACAGTTTCAGCGGGTCCATCACACTGCATGCTTTCTCTCGCTCTATCTCATCAAGGTTTGGATGGGCCTGCAAATTCGGTATTGCTCACTGTCAAATAACTTATTAATCGTGATGAAATCTCTTCAATCACTAATCCCAACACCAACGCAACTCTAGAAAGTTGGTTTGGATTGACTTTTACGTTTTATTTAATTTAAATCTTATCACTCACGTATTTTAACCTTTTTAAATCCGGAACATTCGAAACTAACGTAAAATGCAAATTTTAACGGTGGATTGACATATAAATTTTTCATGACCGTTTGAAATTTGAACAATATTTTGAATTTTGATGAGAAAGCAAAAGAAATACTTCTGAAATTGCAGACCAGTCCTCAATATTCTATTGCTTACCTTGAAGTATATATCGATTGCTCGGTACAGATCGTCATCGACTTTTCTAGCTGCCTTAGGCACGAGGGTCGCGATCGCATTGAACGTCGAGATGCTGAGTTCACTGTATATAGCAATTTCTCCTAAGTATGCATCGACCATCTTGGCAAATCTCTCCATCGGTGCAGAACAAACCTCCTGGAAGTCGCCATCGAACACAGCCACACTCTTTTCCTTCTCGACAAAAGCCAAAATAATTCTCCTAACACTCTCCAGATCAAAGAGCTGCTTGCCATCGTAACTGAATCACAGAATGAGAAGATCGTCCTCTGTCACATGCTCTAAAATCGAAGAGAGCCGTTTCTCAAGCTCCTTCTTGCAATTGGTCGAGGCTTTAAGAAAGATAGCAGCTCGGAGAAGGCAGCAAATGAAGCTAATGGGAAAAGCAGCTTTCTCTGGGGGTAAAAGCATAACTATAGATTCAAGTAACTTGGGCTGCTGATCTAGACCATGGGAGTCGTTGATATCTGATGACTTAGTTCCGATGCCAGAATGGTCTCGTACGAGACCTGGGAGAGATCTTTCTGCGTATGTGATGATAGCCATGGCCAGGATAAGGGCCTTCGCACCTCTTTGTTGCATTGCAGCAATGATCTTTCCAAAGAACAAAACATTTAACACCGATAGCTCGACTGTCCACCAGTTTGATGGAGAACGGCTCGGAAAATTGCCTCTTTACATACCTGCAATAGCAACCACGGTCGCATTACATATATCTCAGTGCCCCTTATCCTAAGCATTCAAATTGCAAGGCGAAGCAACCGCAAATGCGAACCTTTACCTTGGCACTTGCCACGTCGAGACATCTTTGGACAATCTTGAGGTCCTCTGCCTTGGGAAGAAGATCTTCACATGACTTCAAAACGAGGATCATGCCAGACAGGCTCGAGAAGGCCACCTGAACAAGGAAGTCCTCAGTACGGCCTGCAAGGTTGTTGTCACAATACTGGTCTGTCATTTCCAGTTACTCCGCAGCACAACGAAGAGCGGCAACGTTATTCACCGTGGTCTCGAAGTCGCCGTTGTAGCAGAAGTTTGCCACTTTCTCAAATATCTCTGGGCCTCCAGGGATGTTGGACAGATCGATCCTGGTCAGTTCCGCTTCCTTCGACTCCATCACCATCTTCCTCATGTAGTTGCTCTTAGCCACTAGCATGAACTGCCAAGAAGCAATTGAATATGATATTCATTTTCCAGTCCCTAGATTACTCCACAACATGACCATGAACTCATTATTCATCCCAAACCTTATGGAGAGAGAAATTTGCTTTGCCTACTTTGACGTCAATATCAGTCGGAATTTCTTGAGAAAGAAGCCTACGTGAAATGAACAATTCATGAATCAGTAACTTAACGACGGAAAATTTGGATAGACATAGCATGAATTCATCATAGGAGCGTAATTACCATTGACCAGTCCTCTCCCTGGCAACAGAGATCCCGCCATTGCTCTTCACATGAGGAGCCATGACTCAAATCAATCTCTTATGCAGGAAGAGTTTTGTGTTAAGAGTCTGAGCTTTTCGGGCATTTGACCAAACACAAGGGTGCTCCTGTATCCAAGTTGAGTTGAGCTCACTTGTGCTTCCTCACCGGCTGGCAAATAGTAACCAGAAAGATTTCACTTTAAAAATTAGTCAACTATGACGGTATTCAGTTAAACGCGCAAAAGGAGATCCAAAATTTTGCGGAATCTGGCTCTTCTGTTGCTAATGAAACATCATTTTGCAACCTGGAATCACTTGAAATAGCAGAATATAGAACCCGTTAGTTTACAATCATCGCCTTTATAAACTCGCTCGTTCGGTGATTTATACTCGTCGTCGTCGTGAGCTAGCCCGTGTCATAATTGACAGCGGTTTTCATTGCTACGGCTAATACAGGGATGCCACATAATGGTTTCTGCAATATTATTCTGTAAGAATGCCCAGTATAAATCCATACAATTTTCTTTTGCTCCCCACAATTGCTAATCTATTAATGGGGAAACGACAACCTAATCTACGATCATGCCATGAAAATGAAAATTTCTGACCCCAAACGACCAGCTAGATAACAACTATAGAGCCAAAGTTTCTAGTTTCGTAGCTCATCTACGTTGAAGCTGGGTTGGTCGTGATCTTTGTTAACATTAGGTAAAGAGAGAAGCAACATTGCAATGATAGGAGAAAGATTGAAGAATAAGAGTCGTACCCCGCTCTTCCAAGTTCCTCTGTTCCTTGCTTGAGCTAACTTCTGAACCCTGTTTTGGATCAGGTTTTCTGTTTTTTCTCAGTGGATGAGAATATCAAGAACCTCTTGATTGGAACTTATAGAGAACGGCTTCATGCAAGATTCAGCAACGTCCCGCTCAGTCAGCGAAACAAAAGTGGACCTCTTAATTGTATGGTTCAGTTTCGGTAACGCTGTTTTCAGACGCCAAAGTCGCTTGCTTTTCTTGAGTGTATTTTTGTTTTTTTCCCTTCTTTTGGTGCCCCCGCGCTGCTTTGGGGAAAAAAACATGGTGGACAAGATAAGGCTTCCGGTCGGGGTCCCACGGTAATCGGTCCGGTTTTCTGTCAACGAATGGGTTGCTCCCACGTGGCATTCCCGCCGCCAGGTCATCCTCCCTCTCTCTCTCTCTCTGGTTGGAGTTATAGATTCGGGAGTTCGTGAACCTTTTGTCTATCTTATAGACCAATCGACCAATTTGTAAGGATATGCGAGGGACGATTTGAGAGTTTGGATTTATCTAATTATTGTGCTCAAAAGGGATTTTTTTAGTCACTTACATGCACATCAAATTTATTTATTACAAACTTTTGTTTTTCTCGTAATTTAACCTTAAAAGAGCCCTTTCTTATACAAAGAGTCTCGTTTTTAATGGTAACTTGCCTTACTGGATCTTTTCTAGATAGGCTATATGACACGTATGGTCCTCGAACTTTAGTTCAATATGCAATGTTGTCCCTGGATTTTTTATTTGTTCAATATAATCCTAAAAATGTTTAATGTAGTCTTTCTATTTGCTCAAACAACAAATCAAACATTTTTTGATGACGTTAATTATTATATGTAGAGTTGAATTTTTTTTTAAATGATGAATCAATATGTCTATCTTTTTTTTTTTTTGGTAAGGGATATGTCTATCTTTTTATCCATCTACTATAGAAAACGAAAAAAAATCAGGGCGTTAATGTACATCATTATTTGATGACGTTAATTATTATACCCTGATTTGAGATGAATATATTATTTGGATTATCCACATGTGACTTTTTTTTTATCATTCACCGTTCATTGGAAGCCAAACTAGCAGACTCTGCTTACTCAAATTAACAAAAGGCAATGTGAAATATTTTCATATACTCTAAGGACTAAATTGAACATTTAGTAGTAGTTTGGGAACTACATTGAACAAATTAAAAGTCCATGAACGACATTTCATATTAGGCCAAAGTTCGAGGACCATTTGCGTCATTTTCCCTTCTGAATATTGTGTGACGAATCAAAATGGATCTAATTTCATTTCATACATCATCGATAGGCAATAGATAATCACCCAACTTCGTGACAAACAGAAGAACACCAGTGTTGATGGGGTCGTCGATGGGAGTTTTCGTCCACAACCATCATTTTGGTAGCCCAATAGATGGAATTGGACGAGAGAGAGAGAGAGAGAGAAGACATGGACCTACGTGCAACTTGAACTTATACACCAAAGCTTAGTCCCTTTCACTTCAACCCCAAAAAAGGCAAAAAACCTTGAATTTGTGGATGTCATCCAAACATACTTTTCCAGTGCTTCCTAATCGATGTCCCCAGTTTCGGCCACATACACATGGACATGTATAGAGACAACATATCTTCCTTCCTCTACTGATATTCGTACACCAGATAAGGTGGATGAGAATCTATTGCTATTTCTCGATGGAACTCATTTTGTTACGTAAGAGAAATAATCGGGTTGTGTAAGAATAGCCGTAGAGAGAGACACAAATATCCAATTCATAGAAGCGTTGATTCTCATGAAGAGATGTGGTAAAATCTCAGATTAGCTTTGTTACTTTCCTGCCTCTTTCGGGATGGCCGCCAGGTGAGACTTTAGAGAAGGGTTCAAAGAACATGGGAAACAAAATTTTACACATTGGATCCATGATCTTGTGCCTTTTTTCAACGAGGTTCCCGAATTTGTAAGTCGTTTTTTTTTCTTCTTCCCTCTCTTCTTCCTCCAGCCACTGGCAAGGCCAACCTTGCCATTTCTGGGTGATGCCGAGCCTCATCCGACCCTGGTAAGGCTTGGCCTCCCCTAGCGATGGCGAGGTCGGCCTCCTAGATCAGGCGAGGGCTCACCCAACCATGGCGAGGCCAATCTTGCATCGCTGGCCCTCGCCTCTGGCCAGTCGCCGAGCTAGATGAAGAAGGAAGGGAAAAAGACCAAAAAAAGGAAAAAAAATTCAAAAAAATATTTAAAATGTTCATATCTGCGCCGGCCGTACCACGTAGGACGGTGGGCATACATTTAATCGATTTCCAGCAAAATTGGCCGGATGAATTGAATCAACACAAATGCAAAAAATTTAGGACTCAATTGAAAAAAAAAATGTTTATAGCTGAATTTGCACTATTATAACAGGTTTATTACTATTTTGGTAATTTCCCCTAATCTTAAAGTGGCAATTCTCACTTTTTCTTATTTTGGATTTTGTTTTTAAACTTTTCTGCATTTATCTTTTGTTTGCACTATCTCAGTTACATATATTTAAATCTCTGATAAATTTAAATATCATCGGATCATTCCTTATTTTAAACCTTTGTCTTTGGAAAAAAAAATTCAATAAGAACCTACGATAGTAGACTTCTAAACTCCTAAAAATTTCACATGAATGATTCTCATATGATAAAAATGTAAACACTAATTTGCCTCATAAAATAATGATACTCCTAATAAAGTGGAGAAGGTTTTCTTCTTCACGTGGAGTAGCATGGATAATTTGCAATATTCGATTCTGAAGTGCTAAGGCGAGTTAAATCTCAACTTCAATATTAGCTGTAGTTCACAATTTCATGAACGATCGTGTATTTATTAGAGGACGTATGACATTACTCGAAAAGGATTTAACATTTTCAATTGAGACAAATGTTCCTCATTGTGTATTTCCTTGTTTATGTAAAGTGACGCAATCCGTCATGCGATTGATAAATCTCTGTACTTTTATTGTTGACACCTATTTTAATTTGCCCAAAATTAATTGCACAAAATTTAGGAGTTAATTTTCTTTAATTCCTAAAACAAAAAAATATTTCTATTTAATTGCCTTGCATATAGAAATTAGGCACATTTGTATTAATAAGGTCTATTAAAAAAATAAAAATAAAATAAAACCGAGTTGGGCCGGGTTGGCCCGGCCCTTTTCTTTTTTCTTTTCTCCCCCGCGCGGCCCAGCCCACTTTCTTTTTTCTCCTTTCCCCTCTCCCGCGCGAGCTGGGCCCGGCCCGGCCCAGCTCCTCCTTCCTTCTCCTTCTTCCCCCCTGCGCTAGTCTCTCTCTCTCCTCTGCTCTCCTCTGTTCTGGCAGTCGACTCCACGGATGGTGGAGCGCCCCCGCACCGTCCCTATCAGGCCAGAGGAAGGCCAGGGAAGCACACCAACGGGACTGGCATTGATGGCTAGTCCTGTCCTCCCTGATTTCCCGATCTCCTCTCCCCCTTTTTCCTCTCTCCTTCACGGCATCAAAACGGGCCCCCCCTGCACCGGCCTAATTGACCACAAAAGTCTCGAATAGGAGTAGGCCGGTGCAGGCCGTCGTCAGCAGATGTAATGGAGCAGAGAGTGGCGCGTCGTCATCAGCTATATAAGCCGGCGAGAGACAGAGAGAGACGGTTGGCCATTTTTGAGAGAAAACAGAGACAGAGAGAAGAGAGAGAACAGAGAGAGAATCATAGAGAAAAGAGAGAGAAAGAGGAGAGATTCGAGCTTTTACAGGTCCCCGTAGCCGCGTCGTCGACCGCAGATCAACCAGAAATCCTCCAGTCGCGTCGCCAACCGGTGAGCTTCCCTCGATCCCGCCTTGCTCTGTTTGTCCTTGTTTTTGTATACGGTCTGTCCGAGACTCGCGCCGGCCATTTCACACAAATCCCGACCCATAGCGTCGTTCTCCATAGCTCGTATATCGTCTCTGAAGGTAGGTACAGATCTCCCGAGGACGGCAGGGCCTCGAAACAGGTCGAAATCTCCCATTTTTGTTTATGCATGCCATGTGTTCATTGAAATGTCTCAATGAAACAGGTTTGTTTTTGGTCGTCGGCCGGCGAGTGGGTGGCCGGACGGTAAGCGGGGTGGCTGAAGGAGCTTCGTAGGGGTCCTGAGAGGTGAAAGCCGGGCTAGATTTGGTCTGGGTCGCCGGCGAGACGCCGGATCTCGCCGGCCGACGGTCTCGCGTGCCTCAGGCACACAAGAACCAATTTGGACCGACCTGCAGACCGGATCAGATCGGTTTGCAGGCCTTCAAGGCCGGTTCGACCGGGTCGAACTGGCCCTATCTTGTCCACATCCATCGGACCGGGCCCTAACCTGGTCCGATCCGGTCCATACCCGGGTCAATGACCCAGGTTGACCCCTGACCCGGTTCAGATCCGGGGATCCGATCCGGGTCAACGCGATGAGTCGGGTTCATTGACCCGGGTCATATCCGATCGATCCGGATCCGCCAACCCGACCCGGTTTTAATATTATTTTATTATTTTTAAAAAATTTAAATTTCTAAATTTTTTTTTTAAAAAAATTTGGAAATTTTTTTTGTTAGGTTATAATTTAGATATATTATTGTCTAATATTTTTCTAAATTATGTGATATATCTGATTGTTTTAAAATTATTGTGATATTATTATGCATGTTGTTTTTAATTAAATTATAATGGCATAAATTACCATGTTTGAATTAGATAACCTATAGGGTTATACGGTAGTACTTTGCATGTTTTTTTACTACTGTTTTATTATTTTCATTATGCATATTTTTAATTAGAATATAATTGCATAAATTATTATGTTTTGAATGTTGTTCGCGTTAGTTAGGACTAGAACCTTGGGCTGCATATCTATTTTGACTGCTAATTATTTATGATTATGCACTTGTTTGATCACTTCACATGTTAGGAGAAAGGTCCGAAAATCAATCCAAATTGCCTGACAAATGTTTTTAGAAATGAACAGGGTAAAAAGGTACCGAAAGGGCATTAGTTATCTAGCTAGTGTAACCAAGTCCCCGAACTCATTTAATCTCTGGTTCGTAGAAATAAGGTGATTCTCCCATCACCTTATTTGGGTTTCTAATCGACTCACCCTAAATCGATTAGTGGCGACTCCTTGATAT